GAATCAGGCTCCCTCCTCTCTGGTTCTGGGTGCATCACCTGAGAACTGTAGCTGCCAAGTCACTGCAGCTCAGCAGCTCCTGCATTCAGCATCTGCCCCCTGGTGGTCAGTGTGTGTCATAGCTACTGGTCAGAGTGTCTGTCCCCTGGTAGTCATTGCGTGTTATAGCTACCAATCGGATGGTCGAATGGTTGGACGGTCGCTTAGGCTTTTATATATATAGATAGGAAACAGACAAAATGGGGAAAAGATTTAAAGTCACTTCATAAAAGAGAAACCTAAGTGGTTAATAAAAGGATGAAAAAGGTGTCAATGACATATAATCATACTATTTATTTCTGACCAGTTGTCAAAAGTAAAAAGTCTTGTAATACCAAGTGTTGGCAACGATATGGAGTAATAGGGTCTCTCACACTGCTGGTGTGAATGCAAATTGGGAATGCAAATCAGAAAAACCAAAGAATACTTTAGCATTCTATAGAGAAGCTGGTAATGTGGATAGGGGATGTAACCTGGAGATGCTCTTGCACATGTCCACGTGGGTACATGCATAAGAATGTTCCTACAGTATTGTTCCTAACAGCCGGCACTGCAAACAAGCCAAACATCCTTCAACCACATCATAGACACATGTATTGCAGTGTATTCCTGCAGAGATATATGCAGGATTGTAATGGCTACAAATAATAAATCTTTTTTCTTCTGATGTAACCTGGAGATGCTCTTGCACATGTCCACGTGGGTACATGCATAAGAATGTTCCTACAGTATTGTTCCTAACAGCCGGCACTGCAAACAAGCCAAACATCCTTCAACCACATCATAGACACATGTATTGCAGTGTATTCCTGCAGAGATATATGCAGGATTGTAATGGCTACAAATAATAAATCTTTTTTCTTCTCTCTTTCCCCTTATGTCTTTCTCCCATCCTCGTCCTCCTCCCTCTTTTTTTTTTCTCCCTCTCTTTTGCTTTATGGTACTAGCTAGAATCTCCAGTACAATACTAAGTGGAAGTGGGTTTTCACATATCCTTGTCTGTTGCTGATCTCAGTGGAAAAGCTTTTTAACAGTTCACAATGAAGATGTACATGGCACATTCTTCTATTTTTAGGTTTTATCATGAATGAATTTTGAAATTTATCAAATGCTCTTCTTGTTTACTGTGTTGGTGATAAGAATTGTGCTCTCTTCCACTGATTTGTTTCTAAAATAAATATGCAAATAAACAAGTAAATTCTATAAATTTCAATCTCTCATATTTTCCAACTCTGTCTTTCTGAGTTTTATTATTGATCATTTTTTTCTCAACTATCATCCATGTTACTAATTCTTTCTTTAGCTGTGTATAATAGGTTGTTAAAAGTACCCAGGAAGTTTGTTAGTCCCTTTTTATTTTTTAATTTCTAGATGTTCTAGATAGGTATTCTTCAATTTTATGTCATTTTAAAATACAATTTCCAGACTTTTAGCAATGTTTTAAAATTTGTCTTCTATTTCTTTAAGTATATAAACATAGCCCTGGCTGGTTTGGCTCAGTGAATAGAATGTGGGCCCGCAGACTTAAGGGTCCCGGGTTTGATTCCAGTCAGGGGCATGTACCTTGCTCGGTTGCAGGCTAGATCCCCAGCCCTAGTCGGGGTGTGTGCAGGAGGCAACAAGTCAATGTGTCTCTCTTATATCCATGTTTCTCTCTCTCTGTCTCTCCCCACTAACTTCCACTCTCTCTAAAAATCAATGGAAAAACAACTCTGTCTTTCTGAGTTTTATTATTGATCATTTTTTTCTCAACTATCATCCATGTTACTAATTCTTTCTTTAGCTGTGTATAATAGGTTGTTAAAAGTACCCAGGAAGTTTGTTAGTCCCTTTTTATTTTTTAATTTCTAGATGTTCTAGATAGGTATTCTTCAATTTTATGTCATTTTAAAATACAATTTCCAGACTTTTAGCAATGTTTTAAAATTTGTCTTCTATTTCTTTAAGTATATAAACATAGCCCTGGCTGGTTTGGCTCAGTGAATAGAATGTGGGCCCGCAGACTTAAGGGTCCCGGGTTTGATTCCAGTCAGGGGCATGTACCTTGCTCGGTTGCAGGCTAGATCCCCAGCCCTAGTCGGGGTGTGTGCAGGAGGCAACAAGTCAATGTGTCTCTCTTATATCCATGTTTCTCTCTCTCTGTCTCTCCCCACTAACTTCCACTCTCTCTAAAAATCAATGGAAAAATATCCTCAGGTGAGAATTAACAACAACAACAACAAAAGGAATATAAACATAGTTACTTAATTATCTATGCCTGGTGATTCCAGTATTTGAAGTCTTTGTGCAGAACTAGGTACATCTCTTAAAGACCAAGTCTATTTAACAACAACAACAACAAAAAATCAAAGTAATAACCAGTATATGTTGAGTGGTTAAATGTCCAAGGTACCTTTTTTAATTTATTTTTTAATTGTTTAAAGTATTACATATGTCCCCTTTTTCCCCGATTGACCCCTCCCCCAAAGTACTTTTTCTGTATTAATTTTACAATAACCCTTTGAAGTGAATGCTATTGTTTTCATCTCCAGCTTACAAACAAAGCTTAGGCACTTTGCCCAGAGGCCACAGCTAATAAGCAGAACCAGGGTTTGAACGCAGGCAGACTGTCTTCAGAGCCCATCCTCTCACCACTATTATTTTTTGAAGCATGAAAATGACTAAAGTTTTTAACATAATTCCCTGTCCCCTTAGAAAACCAGATAGGCAAATAAACCCCACCCCGAGCAGCAATGCTAACTATTTCATTGTACCTGTCAGAAAGGTAGCCAAAAATCAGCGCTCCCAGCAGGACTCCTACCATGAATGTAGGCTGGATCAGCTTGGCAAACCATTCTCGGTTACAGACCAGATCCCACTGAGTCACCACGGTGCTGTCCCATTTGCTTGTGTCATAGATGTAGCCATCCAAGCAAGGAAAACGACTTTTATGGCCGTTATAATTATAGTCCAAATTCGACAAGTTATCTCTCCGGAACCTGTTACACCTTTTGAGCTCCCAGATCTCACCGTCCTGTAGCTGCACTACAACTTGCTCTTCATGGCCTGAGGAAGACAGCTTCCAGATGTTATCCAACCTCCAATCAGAAACATTGTGGAAAAGAACCCGGCTCACATTGCCTGGGGGCCTGCAGGCATACCTGGGGAGCACGGTCATAAACACAGAAGCCAAGTAGTGGACACCACAAGAGATATTCTGGAAGGCAACTGTGAAATAGAGAAATACCTGGTACCTGAAAAGAGAAGAAAAGCAAGTTATTATATATGGACTAAAAAAAGAACATAAGCAAATATGAACGGTCTTTATCATGTTTACCTTAACATATGTACAAATGGATAAATACAGAACAATCATAGATATGTCCATATACACAGGTTAGTATGTATGCATATGTGCATAGCTCTGTCGAGAGGGCCTAGAAGCAATGAAACCCCAATAGCAACAAGCATACCCAGTGCCCAGATCTTGATTTCTAAATACCATTCTCCAATAAAGGAAACCAGGCAAAAGAGAGCAGGAGGGGGAGAATACAAACTAAACCTGGAGCATCTTGTAATATCAGAAAGTAAGGAAGTGCTCAAAATACAAAAGATCCTGAGCATTCTTTCCATTTAAACCTTCCTTTCTCTTTTGCAAGGATAACTTCTTAAAAAAAACAAAACCCTACCTCCTTAGGTGTCTAGTATTCTAACATATCCCTCTGTCCCTTACAAAGCCTGTTATCCATCACGTGTCATCCAGGTGCCCAAACTAAGACCCCTCTACGACAACATACCTGTAGATACAGTGCACACAGCTGGAGAGACACACGCATGAAAAAGAAGCATACAGACACAAAAGGCAGAAAACCCAGATGCAAGGGTGCTGGTGCTTCCAGGGTTCAGAAAGTCCCACTTCGGGCGTCCATTTATGCCGGGGTTCATGTCCCAGCATCAAGAAGGGTTCAGGAATCTGGAGAAAGGGCTGTGCGTAGATGACATAGGAATCCAGAGACTAATAAAGAGTCCGGAGACGAGATATAATTTTGAAAGTCATTGGGGGGCAGAGGACCTTCAGCTAAAGGAACTGAAGACTCCCTCCTTGTCTAGGACCCTTGCTTTTATTAACACAATTTGTCCTAAGGCAAGGTGAAGATAATACATTCAAAGGGTAAGGTTTCAAAGGGTACAGAAGCATTGTCAGTTTGGGGGAATTAGCCTATGGCTGTTCAGGTGTTTGGCCAGTAGGAGGCAATAACATGTAGATTAAGATGCCCTTTAACTGTCTGGCAGCCACAATCAGTTTCCTATTCAGGTTTGGGGAAATGCCTTTCGCCATTCCCAACAGGTGACTAGATGTGTGACTCAACCCTGTTGAGTCCCCAAGTTTCCTCAACCTTTTGATGAAACTCTTGAAATTATGACATGCTGGAATTGGTTCCCGGCACAAGGGAAAGCAAAAATGGCCAGAACTCCCTGAAAATGGGCCATGCAATCTGGGCGATGGGTGAAGAAACTTCCAGTTCCAGATTTATGCCATGCTGTTTTAAAAAGCATAGCTGGTGGCACCCCACTGTGCCTAAAAGGGTGGACTCCAGAGCCAGACTGTGAAGGCTTGAATCCTGACTTTGTCACCATATGGGACTTCGGACAAGATCCTTAACTTTGCTATGCCTCAGTTTCCTTGTCTGGGTGGTCGTGGGAATGCGAAGATTTCATACATGTAAAGCACTATGGCACATTGTAGGTGCATGTGTTAGCTATTATGATGTTCATAAAGGAAAGTCAAAAAAGAAGAGCCAAAAAAAAAAGGTTCATATTTTGGGAAAAAAAACACACACATAGATGTAGGCTCCACAGTCCAAGTCTGACATTTTAAAGCATCTCTCCCCTGGCCGCAGGACAACTCAGGGATCCAGGTTCTTAGATTCTCCCAACACAGATGCCTGCATCTCAGTGTCCTCAATTCCCTCTCACTCGGGACTTACGCCATGAAGTTTATGGAACTTCAGTACAATTTTAGAACAAGTCCTGAAGGTGCTTTTTAGTTCTTAGGTGTCCTGCTTCCCTCCCTTCAAGGTGATTAAGGTAGAGCCTCCTTATCTTAGAAATGACTAATGAGAAGTGAAAGGTAATCACAGATCTCTACTTAACGCTTTCACTAGGTTTTCTTAAGAGAAGGCTAATAATACACAATAGCCTCCCTTCCTATTTATAAATAAAGAGACCAATTACAGCAAAATATGAGAGAAAAGATGGGGTGCCATGTTATAGTCATACTTTTTGCAAACCTTTTGCTGTAAGCTTTGACTTGTTACCCTTTTCCTTCTTATAAGCTGCTTTCACCATCAATCCTTCCAGGATGGAGGCTCAGGTAACAATAACAGTCATGATATTGAGAACTTATTGAATAACTGGAGGCCCTGTGCACGAAATTCGTGCAAGGGTAGGCCTTGGCAGCCCTGCCCCCCACGCACACCCATCTTGGCCTGGCCCTGGTCAGCCACCACACACCCCCAGTTCCCTGGTTCTGCAGAGCCCCCTGATTGGTCACCCCGCTGGCCAGTGGCCTGGGCCTCCCTCTACAGAGTGATTGAGGGGCGATGGCGGGCCCTCTCTCCCCCACCAATCCCATCACACCCGCCTTGGCTGGCCTGGTGCCAGTGGGTGTCATAGCGTGGTCCTCCAGACGGTGGTTCCACTGTTCGGCCATTCGGTCGATTTGCATATTATGCTTTTATTATTATAGATAAGCACTTTGCATACATTATTGTGGCAGGCTAGGAATTGTCTCCCAAAATCTAGTCCCCACTTCTTCCACCACTGTGAGCTACCTTTGACCATGTGCGTGAGGACCAGGAAAGCAGCATCAGGTGAAACACTGTGTGTTCCTACCTGGCACAGCTACCTGGCACAGTGTGCCTGGCACATGCTAGCTTCCTATAAATGGCAACAAACTCCCAGGACTGGTTGTTCGTGGGGCAATGCCTGCCAGGCACTGAGAAGACCCGAGGGCGGGCGAGGTGGGGCAGGGCAGCAGTCGTCTTGGGAAGTGAAAGAGGAAACTGGAGGATTGGAGAAACCAGCGCTCCTCTGTTCCTGTAACCCGGCCTCTCCCACTGGGCCTCCCGGCCTCAGCTCCCCAAGACCGTGCGCCCCAAGTTCCTCCTGCCCAGCGGCAGGCACGCCCGGCGGGCCCTGCCACCCCCATTCCCAAAGCGAACCCCAAGGCCCTTCTCCTCGCTGTGGGGAGGCCCCGCCACCAGAGTCGGTCTGGCCCAGGGTCTCCCGACTTCCCGGGCACATGGGGTGAAGGTGTTTTCAGATCGCGAGCGCAGCGCTCGAACCCACTGCAACGGACAGAAACAGACCCCACCGACGCCTCCACTCACGCGGCTCCAGATCGCCCAGGCCATCCTCCCCGCAGCCGCACCCCCAACTCCCTACCTGCCAAAGTGCCCCACGCGGTCAAAAATCAGCTCCAAGTTGCTGGGCCCCATGGTGCGGCCGCGCACCGC